GAGATATGAGTAGCCACAGGTCTATGTTGGAGAGAATGATAGGGCTAATGCTCATCAGTATGGAGCAGACATTCAAGCACCACCTGTGCAAAACAACAATTTTGAAGTCAAGGCATCTTTGCTGAATATGGTCCAAAACTCCAAGTTCCATGGATTGCCAATGGAAGATCCTTTGGAACACTTGGACCAATTTGATAAAGTTTGTGACTTGACAAAGATAAATGGAGTATCTGAGGACAGCTTCAAGCTCAGATTATTCCCCTTCAGTCTTGGTGACAAAGCACTCAAATGGAAGAAGAATCTTCCAAGAGGCTCCATTCAAACTTGGGAGCAATGCAAGCAGGGATTTCTGTCTAAGTTCTTCTCAACTTCCAGAACAGCAAAGCTAAGAAACCAAATCTCCAGCTTCACTCAACATAGCAATGAGAGTTTTGGTGAAGCATGGGAGAGATTCAGGAGCTACACTAACCAATGCCCACACCATGGGTTTAGTGAGGTTTCTCTTCTCACCACACTTTATAGGGGGGCTCTTCCCAAGATAAAGAATCAACTGGATACTGCATCAAATGGAAACTTTCTGGGGAAGGAGATTCATGCTGCTTTATAGCTTGTTGAGAACATAGCAATGAGCAGTGATACATATGGAGAAGACTTTGATAGATCCAATAGGAGTGAGAGTTCAAGCAGGGATCAAAGGTATGAGAAGGACTTTAAAACACTTGAAAGCAAGCTGGACAAGGTGTTATTGGCCACTCAAAAGCCAATGCACTTTGTAGGAGAGTATAAGGAACCTTCTCAATGCTTTGAGAACATCAGTGAAGAGGGTCTTACTCAGGAAGAGCTAAACTATATTGGGAATCAGAGGTTCCAAAGATATCAGTATGCCAATGCCAATCAGAACCTCTCTTACAGGAATCCCAATATAGCAAACCCACAAGACCAAGTCTATCCTACCTCTCAAGCTCCACAGATTTTATTCACAAGAACAACTTTAAAGGGTCTTTTCAACCAAAGAATCAGTTTGTTCAGAATCAGGGTTACAGTCAGCATCAGCAACCACTTCAGAGTTCTGGTTTCAGTTCACAGCAGCAACCAAAGGCACCACTAGGGTTTGGTCCACCACAGTTCCAGCAGCAGGCGCCGGTTCAGCATCAGTTTCAGTCAGCACCTGTTCACCAGCAGCCACAGATGGGGTCAGATATGGTTGGGATTCTACAACAGCTGCTTCAGGGTCAACAAATGTTTGCGAGTCAGTATGCATCTATGCAGCAGGACATCAAGGAATTGAAGCAAAATCAGGCCTCTAGCTCAAGGAACCAAGGCCAACTACCTGGTAAGCCTGAACCAAACCCAAAGGAGTATGCTAAAGCCATTACACTGAGAAGTGGCAAAGAACTGCCAAGTGTAGAGTACAACAATCTGATCATTGAGGACAATGATCATACTGTGGGGGAGGCCAGGGAGGAAAGAATATCGACCAAAGTATCGACATGCTTCATGGTCGATACTACAACGGCGGCCAGGGAGGAAAAAGGATTTCAAGAGGTGAATGAGGGTGTTTAGAAGCAATGCAACAAGGCTAAAGGTGAAGCACAAGCAGAGAAGCCACAACAAGCCTCACTAGATGCATTTGACAAGGATTTCGATGAATATAAGGCACCTCAACTTGATCTCAAACCCCTTCCCAAGGGGCTCAGGTATGCTTTCTTAGGTCTCAATGAGTCTTATCCTGTCATTATCAATGATATGCTGTTAGAGGACCAATAGCATAAGTTGTTAGAAGAGTTGGGGAAACATAGGAGAGCCATTGGCTACTCTCTGGATGACATAAAGGGTATCTCACCCTCCCTATGCACTCATAGGAATTCACTTAGAAGAAGAGTCTATGTCATCCATAGAGAACCAAAGGCGTCTCAATCCACTACAAGAAAACATCCGCTTTTAGACGGTTATATCCGTCGGTAATTCGTCGGAAAACGCTTTTCCAGACGGAATTCCGACAAAAACAGGTCGTCAGGATCATCTCGTCGGGAAAAAATATCCGTCGGAAATTCATCGGGTATTTCCGACGGAATACCGACGACTTCAATTACTCGACGAATTCTCGAGGACAAAACTTTTCCGACGGATTCCGGACGACGCAATTTTACCGACGGATTCCCGAGGAAGCATTGTTCCGACGGATTCCCGATGGTTTTATAAACCAAGGAGTTTCCGATGGTTTTGATTTTGTCGGAGTTTCATTTCCGACGGAAACCCGACGAACTTGACGATTTTTGTTTCCTGATGGATTTCCGACGGTCTTTTTTTGTTAGTACCGACGATTTTCCGACGGTAAAAGAAAAATTTTTTAAAAAAAAATTTAAAAACATTAATTCAGAGAAATAAAATTGTAAATTAAATATAAATAAAACTGAAATTTATAAATATAATGAAAATATTTTAACAATTTTTAAAATTCAAATATTCAAATAACAAAAAAAAACAATAATCTAGGTTTCTGGATTTTCCGTTCCCGAACTTCCGAATCCCGGGAAGTCAGGAAACCTCGCCTTCATCCAACTTGCCATGGTTGTGACTTCCGATCTGGTTGTAGTAAGCTCCGATTTGGTCGTAGTGAGCTCTTGTTGTGTTGCATCTAACTTGTGCTCCAAATCCGCTGCTTTTGCCTTGAGCTCTTCGTTTTGCTCGACGATATCTTCGGGATAAGAAGAAGAACCGAAAGATTCTTGACTTGAGACAACATTACCCAAACCACGTCGACGTCCTTTCTTCAACGGAAGCTCCTGCACAATTAAAACAATAAGTTGTTAATACCAACAGCAAATGTAGACAAAAAAAAAATTAAAGGTACACAAACCAAGAAAACTTACTTCGCGAACCAAACGGTTGATTTCCTCGCGCGACAAAATGACGGGAGATGAGGAGTCACCTTGTGACTGTTGACTACTCTCGATGGTCTGCGTCACCTTCTCATAAATTTCATTCATTAGAGGATCTTGAATCACATTGCTCCCCTTCTTTGTGTGCACCTTCTTCATCAACTGAAGATGATCTGGATGCACTCCTCCAGCCTCTCTAGTCTATTTAAAAAAAAAAAAAACACTTAAATGTTATAATGAAAAGTGAACACGTATTGTAAAATCCCAAAAAAATAAGAAAATTTTACCATTTGGTCTTCTTGACTCAAAAAGCTCGTCGATCCGGAGTTGTGAACATATTGCCCTTTGCCTTTTCGGTCACTCCTTTTGTTTGTGGAATTAGTCTTCGATTTCTTCTCCGTCTCGGGGTTTTCCCAATATGGGATATAGAGTTTCCAGACAGTGGCATTCAACCCTTTCGGTTTGCCTTTCCCCTTCCTCCAATTCTGCTTCCACTTGTACATGTTTCTTGAGAATTGCGTAGCACACTCAGCAAGAAACAAGCCCTCCACAGTCTTTGTGCGGTTTGGATGCCATGTAAACTCTTGCTGAAAAAAAATAAATTTCTGAAATAATACTAATTTAAGAAAAAATTTGAGTATTGAATAAATTGTTTGAAACTTACCGCAAACTGTTTGAACCATATGTTTTTCTCTTCGATAGGGATGACAGAAAATGTCTTGTACGGTTTCTTAAGGAGTGAATGCAACATTCTCAAAATGCACTTGCTAATCCCGTTGTTCGAATATCCAAACCTTTAAGAAAAAAATCTTGTTATTTTTATAAACATATTATCAAAAGAATAAAAAGATGAAAAAATAATTTATTACCAAGTCGCATTTCCTCGCCGAAGTGGATCAAGCGGTGTGCATAACTCTCGTCCGGGCTCACCGAGTAAATTGTTAATACTCGTGTAGAATGCATCAGACGACGGAGGAGTATGAGAACAACTCTCCGGAACCGCGGAAATCTCTGGGATATCATCCAACTCCGGAAACTCCGGATAATCATTAGACTCCGGGATCTCCGTATCCGTATGAGTCCTCGACGAAAAGCTTTCATTGGTACGTCGTCGCCGGGATTGAGACGACGTACCAGATATATGACCTTGGTATTCTCCGTAATCCCTTTAAAAAAATTTATCTAAAGTAAAAACTTATAAATTGTAAAAAAAAAAGATATTAAAAACAATTTTTTTTAAGAAAACTTTAACGTTTTAACAAACATTTTTGAAAATTATACAAAATAACAAATCTATTTTTTTTGCCAAAACTAATAATTTTAGAAATCAAATAATTTTACATATCTAACAAATCTAATAATTTTTCCAAACTAAAATTTTTTTTATTGATAATTTTATTAAAAAAATCTATTCTAAATTATAAATAATTTCTTGTGAATATATTTGTTAGAATTAGTTGCTTATATATATAGGAAATTTCTAAAATTAACAAATCTATTTTTTTGCCAAAACTAATAATTTTAGAAATCAAATAATTTTACATATCTAACAAATCTAATAATTTTTCCAAACTAAAAATTTTACAAACAAATAAACCAAAATTATAATCTAACAATTCTAATTTTTTCTACAAATCTACACCTATCAAATCTAACAACTCCTAACAAATCTCCTTAAATCTAACAAATTTTCTAAATCTAAGAATTTCCCTAAATCTAACAAAGAACTCATAATTCTTAGATTTTCTAAATCTAAGAATTTCCCTAAATCTAACAAATTTACTGGTTCCTGACGGTTTCCCGACCGAATTTATATCTACCTGTCGGAAATCCGTCGGAACTACCGACGGTTTTTAGAGAACTTTTACAAATTGAGATGGTTTTTATTTTGATAAAATATTTAAAAAAATACATTTAAGCAAAGAAAAAATTACTTTTTTGAATAATATAAATACAAATTTATTCTGAATTGGAAAAATATTCAAAACCGAGCATTTAAATCGGACAGGACTTCTAAAAATTGAGCAAAGAAGAAATACTTAATCCATAAGTGTTCATAAACCCTAAATAAAAACATAAGAAAATTACATTTTCGCGAATAATAATATAAATACAAATTTAATCTGAATCGGAAGAATATTCAGAAGTACCAGATTCGTAATGCTCGTCAAACTCGCCAATTTCTGGTTCTGAATCAGCATAAACAACATAGTCATCTTCCATATCAGTAAAGTCAACAACAAGGTCAACTTCTTCAAGTGACGGTTTGATTTCACCTAAATTGCCGGTGACATTTTCTTGTAATGGCTCGTGTTCAGAAACTCCATATACCCTTCCTCGTGGGTGTATCGTCGTAACTGTCATCCACGGATCTTGTCTGCTCGTAACACGGGGGTATTTTATATAGCAAACCTGATCCGCTTGTGAACCAAGGATGAATGGATCATATTTTCGAAGTCGTTTTCGGGAGTTAATAGAAGTGACACCAAATTGATCGGTGCGTAGACCTTCTACAGGATCATACCAATCGCAATAAAACACAATGCACTTTAACCCAACCATTTCAGGGTATTGGACTTCAAGTATTTCACGAAGTATACCATAGTAGACAAAATCTCCGGTTGTCGACGATATACCGTAACTGGAAGTTATCCTTGAGTTCCCTTCTTTATGTGCCTTGAAAGCATAACAACGAGTGCAATACATTGGATACAATGTTGTAATAAACATTGGGCCACAAACCATCTCAACTAACCAATTAGGGACCGATACTCCTCTACTAATTATCGAAGTAACCTGTACAAAATTATGAATAGCGTAAGTACTATATATATATATGTATGGTATGAAACAAATAAAAGTTAATTACTCTTTTCTGTCATACTTACATGCCATTGCAACCATCCTGCAAAGTCTTTCTGCTTATGGCTCATAAGCTCGTCCTCTGTATAACTTGGAAACCATTCGCGTATTTGCAACATGTATACCCTCTCATATTCTAAAATTTCATCGCAATTGGATAAAATATACATATGCAGGTGTTCTTGTTCCTCTTCGGTTAGTCGTCGAGGCCTACCTTTTCCACTAACCCTTCCAATTTGTGTAAATATGTTTGGGACTTCCACAGGATAAGTTTGTGGCACACCTCCATCATCATGTCGTGCAGGCCGTCTGCTTTTCGTTTTTACAGAAGATGAAAAGTAGTTGCCGGCAAAAGTTGACCTCTCTTCATTAATGCATTGTGCAACAATAGAACCTTCAACTCTTGCAAGATTTTTCACTTTCTTCTTTAGATGGAACATATACCGTTCAAAAGGATACATCCATCTATACTGAACGGGTCCTCCAAGTGCAGCTTCCCTTGGGAGATGAATCGGAAGATGTTCCATAACATCAAAAAAGGCCGGTGGAAATATTTTCTCAAGATTGCATAGGATAACTGGTATCTTTTCCTCTAAATTATGGATACCATCGACTGTAAGTGATCTAGTGCACAGATCTCGGAAGAATGCACTAATACCTGCATAATGAACAGAATATTACTTATATTAATTATTATATATGTACATATATAATCAATTAGTTATAAATGATAAATTACTAGCTAGTTATTAAATTTACCTGCGATAGCTTCATGAATGTTTTTAGGTAGAAGACCAGAAAAGGCAAATGGAAGGAGGCGTTGCATAAAAACATGACAATCATGACTTTTCATCCCACACAACTTACCTTCTCCACTATCAACGCAATTACGCAGGTTAGATGCATATCCATCAAGGAATTTAACACTTTCCTTAATCCAGTCGAAGAATTCTTCTTTTGAAAGCACATTTAATCGAAAAGCTGGGGGCAATGATTTCCCATTTTCCATAACATGCAGTTCTTTACGTGAACAAATATCAGGTAAGTCTAATCTTGCCTTCAGATTATCTTTAGTCTTCCCTTGCACATTAAGTACAGTATTCATGATGTTGTCGAAAAAGTTTTTCTCAATGTGCATCACATCTAAATTATGCCGAAGTAGATGGTCTTTCCAATATGGCAAATCAAAGAAAATACTCTTCTTGTTCCAATTGTGGTACTCTCCACATCCTTGAATAGGAACATGACCATTCCCACCACATGAAACCGTCTTCTCAGCATCAAAATCTCTTAATTGTCGGATTATATCTAAACCTGTAGGCTCTGGAGGTGGAGCATCATAAATTTTTTTATTCTTCCTAAACAGTGTCGTGCTCCTTCGATATGGATGATCAGGGGGTAGAAACCGTCGATGGCAATCAAACCAAGAAGTTTTTCGACCGTGTCGTAATTGGAATGCATCAGTGTTATCTTGACAGTACGGACATGCTAATCTTCCGTGAGTAGACCAACCAGAAAGCATACCATATGCTGGAAAATCACTTATCGTCCACATAAAAACCGCTCGCATTACAAAATTTTGTTTTAGAGAAACATCATATGCTTCAATGCCATATTTCCATAACAGCTTCAACTCATAAATTAATGGCTGTAAGAAAATATCAAGAGATCTCTTGGGGTGCTCTGGTTCAGGAACGAGTATTGTAAGGAACAAAAACTCTCGTTTCATGCACAAACTTGGTGGCAAATTATAAGGTGTGACAATTACTGGCCATAAAGAATATTGCCGCCCATGCTTGCCAAAAGGGTTGAATCCATCCGTAGATAACCCAAGGTAGACATTCCTTGGCTCAGACGCAAAACTAGGATAGAGCTCTTGAAAATGTTTCCACGCTTCTGCATCTGAAGGATGTGCAATCTCTCCATCTGAGTTGTGTTGTGCATGCCATCTCATTGGAGCTGCTGTTCGCTCTGATTGATATAACCTTTTCAGCCTCTCTTTTATTGGCAAATACCACATCCTTTTATGTGGAACAGGTACTCTGCTACTTGTTTCCTGATATCGCGGTTTATGACAAAATTTGCACTTTAAGCGATGCTCGTTATTCCTCCAGAATATCATACAATTGTCGATGCAGACATCTATCATTTCATACGGTAATCCAAGACCACTTACAAGTTTCTGAATCTCTTAATATGAAGCCGGTGAGATATTATCTTCAGGTAAAATATCTTTAACAAAATCAGCTATTGCATCCACACAATCTTCTGCCAGATTAAAATCCGTCTTGATAGTCATCAACCTGCTTGCAGAATATAAAGGCGATATGCCCTCTCTACATCCTCCATATAAAGGTTGTTTAGCTGCATCTAGCATATCAAAAAACCTTCGGGCTTCTAAATTAGGTTCTTCTGTTCTATTACCATCCTGAATATACGATGCTACGTTTTCTTGAAATGCGTCATTCACCATCTGAACAATACTACCTACGTTTTCATCATTCACCATCTCAACATCTGGAGTTGGTTCTTCTATCACACCAGAAGCACTGCTATAATAATTTACCATTGATTCAGTTTCTCCGTGCATATACCAAATCTTGTATCCTGGCATAAATCCATTCCTATACAAGTGATTCCATAGTCCTCTAACAGAGTGTACTCTGTTATTGCGACATGTAAGACAAGGACAATAGAATTTACTATTTCCAGAGCTCTCACTATTCTTTGTCGCAAGGGTTATAAATTCTTCAATACCGCTCGCATACTCATCGGTTAGTTTTCCCGATGTTGGATCAAGACGGGGTTTATCCATCCATGATCGAAAATAATTATATGGGTTTGGGTTTGAAGAAGACATGTTCTTTCACCCTTGATTTGTATGTTGGGAATGAGAAAGAAGAGGTATTTATAGCAAAACCTGATTTCATTTCCGAGCGTATTCCGACCGATTTCTGACGAAACTTTAAAACGGCTAGAAACGGCTAGTTCAACGGATACAACAACGGCTAGATCTAATAATTCCGTCGGAAATCTGTCGAGAAAGTTGAAAATTTAAAAAGAATCGAATTCCGTCGGATATCCGTCGGAAATTGCCGACGGATTACCCACGGAATTGTATTTTTTTTTTTGAATTTTCAACTTTTTAGAAATCCGTGGAAAATCCATCGGGAATTTACCGACGGATTTCCGACAAAACCTTAAAAAACGACCATTTCAATAATCCGTCGGAAATCAGTCGGGAATTACGACCGATTTCCGTTTAACTTCTTTTCGTCGTATTTTTTAGTTTTTCGTCGGGATCCCGTCGGTAGTTTCCGACGAAATATATTCCGTCGGAAATTTCGTCAGGAATCGTAGTGTTTTCTTGTAGTGATTCCAACTTAAAACAGGTAGTGAAGAAAGAGATTCTCATTCAAAGGGATAAGAAGCTTCTTTGAGCATGCAGGGTTTTATAGGAGATTCATCAAAGACTTTTCAAGAATAGCTAGGCCTCTAACTAGGCTGTTGTGCAAAGAGGTTGAATTTGTCTTTGATGGTGAGTGTGAGGAAGCTTTCAAGAAGATCAAAGAGGCAATGATCAGTGCACCAATTGTCCAGGCCCCTGATTGGTCATTGCCCTTTGAAGTGATGACAGATGCTTCAGACTATGCAGTTGGAGCTGTGCTTGGCCAAAGGAAAGACAGAAAACTTCATGTGATCTACTATGCCTGTACGACCCTTGATTCTGCTCAAGAAAAATTTGCAACCACAGAAAAAGAAATGCTGGCAATAATTTTTGCATTTGATAAATTCAGAAGCTACCAGGTGGGATCAAAAGTCATTGTGTACACTCATCATGCAGCCCTCAGATATCTAATGAACAAGAAGGATGCCAAGCCTAGACTCTTGAGATGGGTACTCTTACTTCAAGAATTCGATATGGAGGTACAAGAAAAGAAGGACATAGAGAATGGAGCTGCAGACCATCTCTCTAGGTTAAGAGTGGACTCTGAAGTCCCTCTTAATGACTCTCTCCCTGAGGAATCATTGATGGTGCTCAACTCTTACTTGAAGTTTGAGGAAGTGGATAGCATCCAAGAGAGGAGAATGCCTTGGTCTGCTGACATTGTGAACTTTCTTGCTTGTGGAGTGGAACCACCAGAACTTGATGCTTACCACAGAAAGAAGTTCTTCAAAGATGTCTAAAGATACCATTGGGATAAACCTTACCTGTATGTCCTGAACAAAGATCAGCTGTATAGAAGGTGTATTGCTGAAGAGGAGATGCAACCTATGTTGCAAGAGTGCCATGGATCAGCTTTTGGGGGTCACATGGGAGCATTCAAGACGGTGGCCAAGGTTCTTCAGAGTGGGTTTTGGTGGCCTACTATGTTCAAGAACGCTCAAAGGGTTGTTTCAGCATGTGATGCCTGTCAGAGGCATGGGAATATTTCAAAGAGGAGTGAAATGCCTCAAAATCCAATATTTGTGGTTGAAGTTTTTGATTGTTGGGGAGTGGACTTTATGGGGCCATTCATCTTATCTTATGGGAATCAGAACATATTAGTGGTTGTGGACTATGTGTCCAAATGGGTTAAGGCTATTGCTTCCCCTACCAATGATTCCAAGGTGTTGGTCAGGTTGTTCGAGAACATAATCTTCCCAAGATTTGGAGTACCAAGGGTTGTTATTTCTGATGGAGGTTCTCATTTTGTGAACAGAACCTTGGAGGGATTGCTGAGGAAGCATGGAGTGAAACATAAGGTAGCTAGTCCTTATCACCCTCAAACTAGTTGCCAGGTTGAAGTGTCTAATAGACAAATTAAGGCTATCCATGAGAGGACTGTTAGCTCAAGCAGAAAATATTGGAGCAAAAGGCTGGGTGATGCATTGTGGGCTTATAGAACAACCTTTAAGACTCCAATTGGGACATCTCTTTTCAATCTACTATATGGGAATAGCTGCCACCTTCCTGTTTAGCTGGAGTACAAGGCATTATGGAATTGTGAAGTTGCTGAACTTTGATATCAAAACAGCTCAAGAGAAAAGGATTCAACTCCATGAAATTGAAGAGATCAGGTTGAAGGCTTTTGAGAGCTCCAAGATATACAAAGAAAATACCAAAGCTCTACATGATCAAAGGATTTTGAAATTCAAGGAAGGTGATTTGGTGTTGTTGTTCAACTATAGGCTTAAGTTATTTCCTGGAAAACTTAAGTCTAGATGGTCTGGTCCCTTTAAGATTCTTGAAGTTAGGCCATATGGAGCTGTTGTGTTAGAAGGTAAAGATGGTCAAGAGTTTGTGGTCAATGGCCAAAAGATCAAGCACTACCTAGTCTCACAAAAGGAGGAAGCTACATCAATTCCCCTTCTTGATCCACCATCAGCATAAACTTGGTATCAAAGTCAAACTTAGAGACTTTAAAAAAAGTGCTCTTGGGAGACACCCCAAGCTTATCACTTGTACATACTTTCTTTCATGCTTTCATTTGAACTTTTAGGACTTTTTGATGTGTTTTCTTAAGTGTGAGCAGGTTTAACACGTTTTGGGAGCTGTTTAAAGGAGATTGGGATGCAAGAGAGGTCAAGAATCAACAAGAGCCTGAGATCCTATCGACCACACTAAGTCTCGATAGTTTGGTCGATAATTTTAACCTATTGTGCCGAAATAATATCGACCAAACTATCCTGATGACACACCTCAATATTTATCAAGTGCATGAACATGTTGGCAGGGTATCGAAGTGTGTTTGGTCGATATTCTGGTCGGTAAAACACGAAGAATCACCGAGAAAATATCGACCAGAATATCAACATAAACCATGTCGATAGGATCTCTGAGAAGTCTTGTGACCAGCAGTCCAAAGGGTGCCACAATCAAAGTCAAAGGTCCAGCCACATCCAGCTGTCTCCCATAAGCCAAAAACAAAGGCTAGACCACAGAAAAAATCGGTTTCCTTTCTCCTTTCTATCTCCTTTCACAAGAAAACTGGTTTGCTGTTTCTTTTTCTCCATTGTTTCTCTCTTGAACTCACATCTTTCTCACTTAAAATCGCCTGTTCTTGCTGGATTTTTAAGTTTGGAGTTCATATCTTGCATCATTTCAACTTATTCCAAGGTATTTTGAATGAAAAATTCTTGTTTGGTTTTATTTGAGTATATCGCCATTTCTCTGAAATTTGTTTGAGAATGGAGCTTTGTATAACCTGATTAGAAGCTTGAAATTGAGTTAGAACCTTGTAATATAGGTTGTGGATAGCTAGGAAGGAACCCATTTGAGCTGATTTGTTGCTTGAACATTGATTCTGTCTGACATGAGAAAGCTGTGTTCTTGAGCTATTGTTGGGATTTTAGAAAATTTTGTGGAGCTGGGATTTTGATGTTTGGACTTGGAATGGATTGATATGATGCTGCTTGAATTTATCCTGATGATTTGCTTTCAAGCAAAAATCATTTTCAAATTTTTTGAGATTAAAACCTTGTCATTGGCGCTAGTGGCTCTTTTTGAGATTCTTTGATGAATCAGGTACCATGGGAAGAACAAGGGAAGCAGGCTCAAGTGTTGCTGAACCAAGGATGCCACAGACGACAAATGGGAAAGCTTGTGCTTCAGAACCTAAAGGAAAATCAGCTGCAGCCGGTGCCAAAGCAAAAGGCAAAGCCATAGCCACAACATCAAGGGCTCAAGGGAAGCAGAAGAGAGCTGAGAGAAGCTCTAGTGAGGAGCTGAGTGAGGAAGAGGACAATGTGGCTTCACCAGCACCTGTACCTCAAAAGAAGACAAAGGTGGTCAAGAAAACCGAGCCAAAGTCGGTCACTTACAATGACTACCTCAAGAAACTTCAAGCTCTGTCTCATGAGCTGAATCTTAGAACTTTTTCTTCTGAATTCGTTTTTACTGCATGAGGGTAGCGTCATGAACTACAATCTGATCCAGAAGCTTGGTGACGCGAAAGTGTTCATCCGGTGTCAGATCTAGTTTAGGAGAGCAAAACAAACATAGTAGTGGAAACCTACCTATGGGCGATTTGTGAATTA